TTTATTAAATTAATATCCTTAAACTAAATATATATAGTTAGAATACTAAGCTTATTAATCTCTACCTTCTAAATATATATATAATATATATCTAATAGATATTTAGTATCTTTTTATATTATTTAAAGTTTCTCCTAATAGTTAGAATTATAAATATCTATATTAATCTTAGTAATAGTAGATATATATAATATAGAATTATAATAATCTAAAAGTATATAGTTAATATCCTTATTAATAATCTTATAAATATTAAAATACCTATAATTAAGCTATTCTAGATATAAATAATTAAACTTACTATCTATTAAGTAGTAGTTAGTAATCTATATATTATACTTTTATACTTTTACCTTAATAAAAACTATTTTATTAGTCTTATTAATAATATCTATATATTATTAATTATTACTATTAGGATTAAATAGAGGGTTAGAATTAGATAGGGATATAGATTATTAGATCTTTCTATATTTAATAGAAGTCTTTCTACTCTAGCTTTTTAATATAGTTTTAACTTTCTTTAGAACTATAAGTTTTAGTAATTAGATCTTCTTTATCTTAGATATAGCTCTAGGTTTAGACTATATAATATAGTTTAGTATTAAAAGTAAAATAGGTTTTAGCTTAATAAGTATAGAACTATTTTTTATAATCTTAGCTATTATAGCTTTTACTATCTTTCTTTAACTATAGGTTCTAACTATAGTAATTAAACTTTAAAATAGAAGATAATAATTAAAATTTAGAAGTTAGTATATTAAAAGTTAGATTAGTAATTAATTAATAAAAAAATAAGTATTTAAAAATAAGTATTAAAAAGAGATATTTAGAATAGATCTATTTAAAATTAGATATATATCTAAGTAGTTATTTATAATTAGTTTAAAAGGGGATTATTATAATTTAAAAATAAAACTAACTAGTATTAGAATAAAGTAATAGAGAAAATAAATAAATAATAAGAATAAAAAAAAAAAGAGATTATATAGAAAAAGAGGAAGGTTAATAAGAGAGAAGATATAAAGTAGATCTAGATCTAGATAGATATTCTAAGAAAAGTAGAAATCTATTTATTAAATAATAATTAGATAGAGAGTAAGATCTAAAAGAAATAAGATTATAATTAGAAAATAAGATTAGAGAAAGAAAGAATAGAAGGAGAAAGAATATAAATAATAATAAAAAGGAAAAAAGAAAGAGATTATATAAGGGATATTAAGAGGAGATAATAAATATAAATATAGAATAGTAGAAAAATAGAGTAAGCTAGAAAGAATTAAGAATAAAATAATAAGTTATAGGAATATAGGATAGATAAAGTAAAGATTATAAGTTATAATCTAAAGTTAAAATTAAGTTAAATTCTAGAGAATATATANAAGAGACTGGAATAATATATAAGTATATAGGGTTTTATATTAGAATTTAGAAAGATATATAATATAGTTAGTAGCTAAAAGATAAGAATAGTATATTAAGAATATATAAGTAGTATATAGAATATCTATAGATAAATTAGAATAATTTAGATTAGATCTATCTAAAAATAGCTTAAATCTATAATATACTAATAGTATATTTACTAATATATAGGTATTATTCTTAGAGTTTAGATATAGAAAGAGTATTTAGATTAGATCTATTTAAAAGTAGTAAACTATTTAGTAATATATAGATATTATTCTTAGAATCTAGATATAGAAAGAGTATTTAGATTAGATCTATTTAAAAATAATAAGCTATTTAGAAGTATATAGATATTATTTTTATAATCTAGAAAGAGAAAGAATATATAGATTAGATCTATTTAAAAATAGCTAGCTATTTAGTAATATATAGATATTATATCTATAATCTATATATATAAGAATAATAGAAGTAGATATAGATAGTAATAACTATCTATTTTAGTATATATAGGCTTTATTCTTAGAGTTTAGATATTATATAATTAAAGAAGAACTATTTTTTAATATATAGTTTTTATTCTTAAGATTTAAACTAATTATATAAAGAGAATCTTCTAAATAGTACTAAATACCTAGGTTTAAAGAATATTATAATAATAATTAATCTAATAATATAGTATATAGATAAAGTACTAGAGTTAATATATATTTAGAATAGATCTATCTAAAATATTATATAGTATAATAATAAGTATAATTTAGAATTATAAAGAGGTATTTAGAATAGATCTATTTAAAATACTTAGTAATAATTATTTTCTAATATTATAGAAAGGGTTATTTAGAATAGATCTATATAAAATATTAGGGAGTTAGTATAATTATTAGGGAGTTAGTATAATTTAGATTTCTAATTAGGTATTTAGATTAGATCTATTTTAATTAAATATTATATAGTATATTTAGTAATAATCTAGATTAAGTATTAGGAGTAAATCTATTTTAATTATTTAGTTATAGATATAATTTAGAATTATAGGGAGAGATATTTAGATTAGATCTATTTAAAATATTAGATAGTATAATTATCTAACTACTATACTAGATTAGATTAAAGGTATAATTTAGAATTATAAAGAGAGATATTTAGAGTAGATCTATCTAAAGCCTATAATTATAAAGCTATACAGAGTATATAAAACTATATCTACTTATATAGCTTAATAATAATATATCTATATTAGGATATAGTTAGGGGGTTAGGAAGGGTATTTAGAATAGATCTATCTGAAAATCTAACTATATTACTCTATACTATATACTACTATCTTAGAGCCTATACTATATACCGCTCTATATATTATTAGTAAGAGTTTATAATTAAATTATATACTTAGTAAGAGCTTCTTTAAGTTTTTAATAAAGCTATTATCTTATTATAATATATATAGATAAAAAAGTAAAAGAAAAAGAGTTAAAAATTAGATATAGATTAAAGATAAGTAAAAAACTAGTTATATAGATCTAGTTATATATAGCCTAATTTTAGAATATCCCTTATATATAGTAAAAACCTCTAAAAAAATAAATACTTTAGCTAATAGGTTTATAATACTTACTAGGTTAGTAACTTTAAGCTTATACTTAGATTAATATATTAATATAGTTAGATTAAAAATAAGTATAAAGCTAGATAAAAGAGATAGTATTAATAGTTATTTAATAAGCTATTATTCTAATAATAAGTAAATTATTTATATAAAGATTAGAATTTTCTAGTTATATAATTCCTTAGGTATATAAGAAAAGGCTATATTTTAAAGCTTTTTATATTTACTATATTAAGTTAGTTAGGCCCTGGTAGTATTATTATTATTAAAGTTTATTATTTATATTCTCCTACGTATAGTAAAGACAAGGGAAGGTTCGTATCATATGCGTCACAACCGCCGCGGCTAAGCGATTGCCCAGGCTAAGAAGCACAGCCATGAGTGTTGTGTTTATTAATTCTACCAAGATTACATATGATCGCATCGTCATCTAGCTGCGACAGAGGATCGTTCTCTTAAAGGAAAGGCGCAGGTGCATTTTATTTTATATCTGTATAATATTCAAAGCTATCAAGGAACAAGAGGCTCTTCCACGCGTTGTCGGCCTGGTATGAGATGATCGTAATTACCGTACCCATGACTGTTCTTGAACTGCCCATTGACGGTTATTCCTCCGTAGAATAGGTGTTGCCTACCTAGCGGGCCTATGCCATTTGCAATATCCGTGGCATTATTAGCGTTGCTCTTCCACTGCATCAAATAGCGGTGTGTCATAGTCAAACGCCGATACAGCTCGCTCTTTTCGGTTTCGAGAGTTCTCTTCTGTTGATCGAACGTCGAGACCGTCTGTCGCAGTTGGTTAGCTTCCTTTTGGCTGCTATTTAGAGCTTGTTGCATCTGCTCAATTTGGCTCCGAAGTTTGTCAGCCTCTGGATTCTTCGAAGACTTTGCAAGCGCCTTCTTCAAGACCCCAACTTCTCTTTCAAGATCGTCGGTCCGCTTCTTAGCAAGGTATCCGTTGAGGTCATCGCTTCTTGTACGAGTCTCGACGAACCAGCTTTCAAGGGCGCCAACTAGGTTTCGCATCGCCTAGAACGTCTCAGCTTCATTTCAACAACGAGGTTCGATGTAATCTGGAGTTACTGCATGGTGAACCTACAAGCATAGCTGGACTTGTAGCGGTCCATCCCTTATCTTGGCGATATCGATCCTCTAGGCTGGTTTCTGCGATGAATTAGCCTGCGCGTATCGTCACCCCCAGACCACTCAAGAGACCACTAACCTGAGCAAACGTCTAGGAACTCCCCAGCTCCATATGCTGCATCGAGCTTGCCAAGCTCTTGTCTGGCAGGGTAATTGCGACCGATCTGAATGATTTCAAAAGCAATCGCTGGCGACTCATTTGTTATTTTGCAAAGCTTGTAACTGGATTGAAGCACGACATACCTGCAGGGTCCAGACCTCGCTGTTTTATTACAGCTTTGTACTCATTGACAGCTTGAACAAGGTCTCCGCTCTACCAAAAATCATATGTTAGATTCTAGGCGTAACTGGAGTGAAGGCAAACCCACCGTGCCCGTGGTAAAGATATAAATGAGACTCGGGCGCTCAAAATCGTCTGCTTTATCCGGTACGAGAGGAAGCAGTTTCTCCTTAAGCGCACGCCCAACTAGCTCAGTTTGCTTGCCGAAACTTGCAAACTCTGAGGTTCCGAAGGCATTGGTTACGTCTTGCACGCTGTTGATTGGTATCCCTTTGGGAGATTGATAGTCGCAAGAATACATCTGGACCTTGTTCTTCAAAGAAAATGGTAGGATTAGATCCACCGTCGCCTCTATCTGTTGCTGTACGTGACGGGCGCGAATTGGTGATCGCTTTGCAGGGCCTTGATCTGATCACAAAGAAGAATATAAATACCAGGTAAAGCACCAGAGCGAACGACAGCAGCCAAACACTTACCGACCAAGAGATGTATGTCATAAAGTGCTATCTTGACAATGGACAGGCTGAACTGTTTCCAGTCCACAGAGATCTCGGGTAGGGCTTTGCCCATGCCCGTTGACCACTGGTCCAAAGCTGCCGCACCGATCACACCAGCTTCACGAATCGTTCGATCGAATAGAATGCCATCGAGCTTACTCGTCTCAGCAAAATTCACCATATGCGACACTATGTCGCTTTCTGAATATGACATATTGGCGAACGGTATGTGATGCGATGTGAAAGCGCAGCCCGAACCAGAAACAGGTTCACACCTTAACTGTCTGGTACCCGGAAGCAACCCAAGTCTCGTGAGGATGATCTTCAATAACCAAGGTGGCCTATCAAAAGAGCGTGAGCTTGTCGCATCAACTGAAGCGATAATACTAGTCGGTGTTAACCGAACGGGGGATACTCTGCTTGGTGTCTTCCAAACCTGTGCATTCGTGCTCGACACGATCCTTACCATCGATCGACAGCGTCACACGCCTTGAGTATCGAGGAGTGCTTCTTACCGTTAGAGAATAGCGTCGTTGGCTACCCTGGCCTGTTGTTGTCTCATGCCTCTAATTGTCATGCATGCATTGCGGGGTAGCTTGCGGCTTCCCACCCAATACGTTCTTACACATTTGAGTGCCTAACTTTTGATTGACTGCTGAGGTAGCAAGCATATTGCGATGGATATCGTATTGCATGCTGACGTGGTGGGTATGATGTGACGCATAGCGTGTCGGATGTCACTTTACAGCTTTCAGCTCTCAATAATCTGCCCATCTTGCCTAGTTTGAAAAGTAAGATTACTCTTTTGTGACCATATAAGGCCCGCATGCAGGAGACCTCGCCGCTTAGGGACTAAACTGCAGAACTCAGCTTGCCCTTTTAACTTCAGTACCTGGATCAGGAAGTGACATGGATGTAGCAGCTCAGGTGAGGGTCAAGGAATGGCCGTCTACATCGAATGCTTACTGGCTCAGTGTAGCATTGCAGGACTGTATTGCACTTCAAGAAACTAATGTAAGGACATTGGCTTGACACGTAATTCTGGCTGACGTGTCTCGTTTCCTTGTTTGGCACGGTTTAGAACGGCTCAAGGACGACCAAGAGCTGAGGGAGGCATGGAGATAAATAGCAGCACCAATCGGGAGAGAACAATTGCTCGACAGACAGTTCAGCTCAGTCTTCTCAGTCCACTTTCTCATCGCTCCCCGCCTCGTTATTAAACGGCAAACATGGGTCTCTGGTACGTCTACCTGATGTGGAGGCGTGCGACTAGTCATGACCAAGGCGTGAACTGGGGTCGGTTCCTACTCACTTTTGAGAGTCGATGGGTCGCCGATGAATACTACATGACGCTATGCCAGCTGAAGACCTCGAGCGGCCAACCACGGTTCAAGACCATGGCACGTACGTCCGCACAGCTGTGGGCGTTCGATAGCGTCGAAGAATCCGGCTCGGGGGACAACGGCTGGTGGTGGGCACCAATCTTCATCTGGCGAGAGTCCCGTTACGCTGCAAACCTTGGCTCCTTCACCAACAAGGTCATGCACACGTATCTCTCGGACGGGAATCACTCCCAGCGAAACGATTGGCCTATCTTGAATGACCTGGCCGAGGGGTCTGATTGGATCAGCGGCAAGACCTTCTTTATCCGCAATAAGCGTCAGAGGACCCGTTACTGGTACGACCCTGGTAACGGCTCTGTGCAGGTCTCGACCTCCATGCACACCAAATTCCGCATCACGAGGATATCTGCAGCTCCTCAGCTGGTAGCTGGAGATGCACAGCATATCCTTACTCGGGACGACACTGTGGAGGTTGTGCCTGTAGGCTCGACAGGGTCTCCCCGTTACATTCAGCCCGCCGCGTCTGGCAAGCTTACGATTTCCACGACAAGGTCCTCGATCCTTTTCCGTAACTTCGTGTTAGGCTTAGCAACTGTGTGGCAACAAACTGGCGGAAGTACGATCCCATTGGTGAGCTGGGCGGATGTTGCGGATGAGGGGGATGAATGGGAGTTATGTTAGGCTCCAGTCATAGTTTGTTCTCGAACGTCATGCATTCGTATTGATTTCAAAGCGGGTTTTGCTCTGTTGTCTCTGCATGGGAAGGGTGTGAGCACTTTGGCAAATGAAACATCGTATAGTCCCTGATAGGTCGAGCGTTTGAACTGAGGAATACATCGTCTATTATTGGTTTTTGCACAATGTCACTTATGTTGCTCACGTACATGTATGTGCTTAGACCATCAATAACCGGCCCCTCTGAAAGTTTTCACTGCTTGTGCACCCACGTCACTTTCGTGTTTGAGTAACTAAAAGCAACAGGCTACCACTATGGAAGCTTAGTGCGCAGCGAAGCTCCTAATTTGATCCTCACCATGCCATTCTACCACGAGTCCGAGGAGGAGGAAGATTTCCCAAATCCTCTACCCACTCGGCCCACGCAACCAGAAGAGAAAACACCCTCGGAAGAGAAAACGCCCCAAGGCGAATCCCAGCCAGCTGATAATATGGCCGGTGATGATTTGACCGCGGGTGAGCCAGACCCGCAGTACTACAAGCTCCCAAGCAAGCTTGACGACCTCGAGGGACGGCCTGCAGCTTTGAAAAAGTGGTCGGCTATCATCGACGACGTCATTGAAAAGCTTCAAGTCAAGAAAAAGGCAGCGGGCAAGACGGCCCATTTCTTCAATGCCGCCAGAGAGCCAGATACCCCGACTGAAACATTGTCCATCAAGTGGATTGCCTTCCCCAAGAACCTTGAGACGAAGCAGAATAAGTGGGCTCTTGCCGATGAGCGATTGAACCAGGATGAGTACTGTGAGTGGGAAGTTGAGCGAGATAAGAAGGGTGAGCTTAAGAGTGTGACATTCACCACCGAGCTTCCAGAGGTGAGGATTCTGACGTCCGCATTCTAAGGTTCATTACTGACAGCTGTCTCTTGAACAGTACTACACTTTTCTTGCTTCGATCGACCCGGACGCGAAGAAACTTCTACAGGTCTACAACAACCTCAATGATGACGAAGAGATAGCGGCCGAGGACGTCCTCGATGGAGCCTCGAAGTACAACGGTGGCAACCGTTTCAACACACGTACGGGAGAAGGCGAGACAGTTCCTGGAGCCATCGCTCACATGATCGCCGCCAACAATACCCTCCATGACCTCGCGGAACTGGTCATCGATTCTACGATCCTGTATAAGGACGACAATGGGAACGACATCACCAACGGGCGCGATCTGATCCGGAAGATGGACAATAGCCCACAGAGCGAGAGACGTAACTCTGATCCTACGGTAAGACCACGCATGATCTTGAATCCCTCTCCTGTCCACTCTCTAATGCCGATCTCAGGTCACAGCGAACATCAACAGCCGCGTCCGATCGGGCAAGCGAGCCGCAGTCACCAACCCTCTTGGACCTTACATCAAGTCCATCGAGAACGCCAAAATCAAAGTCGAAGGGGGGGCTCATGTTGACAACTGGTGGACCTTTGACCGAGTCGGCGACGATGACAATCGCGTCCGAGCAAAATTCACCATTCCCAAGAAGTACATTGGGACAGTCAAAGACGGAAACGGAAACAAGGTCACCCACGGTAGCCATATTGCAAAGTACATCTGGATCGGTGTCGATGTCGCTATTGCAGATCCACCTCCACCAAACCAGGCATCCCAAATTCCACAGACGATTCTCACTTATATCGAGGGCCGGCACATCAAGCCGACGCCTCTCCCCGTGAGCTTTGTGAACAAGCAACTCAAGAAGGACCCTTTTGGCAAGTACCTTGCTACAACACCTAATCCGGCTCTCACTCTCAAAGACCTTATTGCGGGCCTGGAGGACTACACCTGGGCCGCTTATGCAGCTGATGAAGGCATCGGGTACAAATTCAAGACCCCGCGAGAAAAAGTGCGCGTCCGTGTTGTCATCATTTGTATCCCGGGAGTACCACTCAGACCGAGGTCAGGCTCAGGCAAGACGGCTGATGCCGAAAAGCTGACGGAGAGAGCCTTCAAGAAGTCAACGTTCGCCGTCGTTGCCGTGGCGCCTGGGAGTGATCCAAATAACATCCACTCCAAGAAGGCGATTCTTCAAGTGGCCAGTTTCAACACCGATGATGGTTTCTTTCGATTCTATGATGTATGTATTTCTATCCTTACAGACGATTAAGCCTCTAACTCATTCCATTCAGAGAGAGAGATTAGGAAGAGGAGCCGGCGCTGGGCAGTGGCTCTACTTCGGCAGCTCTCTTGATGCCTTCGCTCCGGACACCCAAGGCCTTGGTCCCTTCTGCGGTCATCCCAATGGTGGGCTTGTGATGAAGGAGATCGAGGACCCTTGGCCGCACTGGCATACCGAAGACAATGAGCTGTCACTGCCTGCCAGCCACCCCATGATGAGCGATCCCCTTTTCCGTAACACCAGCACCCAGAGTTGGCGTTTCGACTTGGCCGATCGCCTCGCAAACATGGTGTTAACCGGCACTGAAATTTGGTAAGAACGTACAGTTTCAATATCATGTCCGCGCGAGATCTAACTCACCGTATCTAGGTTCAATACCAGACGCTACCATGACTTTGGCCCCATCCGAGATCCTAAGCCGGTCGCTGAGCGCGTGCATCAATGGATGGCGCACATCCTGATGTCGACCAGCGTATCCATAGCCTGCTCTAAGAGCGCCGGCTCGTCCGAGATTCTCATCCCTTCAGGATTCTTTTTCGATGCGGCTGGCCTGTCCGTCGTCATGGACGATGTCCCAGAATTGGAAGACCAGATAAAGCCCTGCAGCAAGGCCAACTACGATGCAGCTCGCAAGCACCTGGGAGTTTACACCTTGAACAAAATGCCACGAGGCGGACCACTTGATATTGCTTCGGAGTCCGAAGGCTTTGTAGGTTTCTTATCCTACCAACACTACCAGCTAGTAATGCTAATCACTTTTGAACAGGCGCCTTGGAAAGTCATCACCCCATGCCCTGAAGACAAAGAGGGCATCCAGCAGATCATCAAGACCGGATTGCTACCCAAGAAGACTGTTCTTGCCCTTCTCATGGTCGACTTCTGGTATGAAACACTCCGGTAGTCTCTATGTTTTATTTCAAGAAATTCTTGCTAACATTCTTGCAGGAACCCAGTCTTTTCTTACCGCCGAGCCCGTCTGATGCGTTACATTCCTTCCACTCTGACCTACTGTCCTACGGGCACTAGCGAGGATGACAGATACCGCTTTAGCACCGACCTCGCCGAAGCAGTCGAGACTGGCATCGAGTCGCTTGAGCTTGATCCCAATACAAGCCCAGAAGCAGAGTTCCTAAAGCTTCTTCGTTCAGAAGACGTTGAGCAGGAAGCTAAAAACAGACTTCAGACCTACGTTGACAACATCAACAGCAAGCTCTCCACCGGGAAGGGTGTTACTGAATACATGGCGCTCGCGGAGACTAAGAGACGCATGTTCAGGCCCCCTCCAAGCACGCGAAGGCCCGTACATCCGCTGGCAGAGTTTGATTTGTCGCTGCCCTATGCCAGCGCGATCGACCCTTCGCAGAAGGAGTGGAAAATGATGCAAAACGGCGAGGTTGTTTTGGCTGATTCTGACAACGATGTGTGGCATCCAAGGAATACCCAGGCACATTTCTCATCAGCTGGATGCCCATTCTCTGCCTCATTCTAGGTTCAGTCGGTCCAGTCTCATGGAGGATATTGGTTCTTACTATAGACACTCCTTCAAGAATGATACAAACTAAGAAATTACTTAAGTTTAGTAATTATGCTTTTAAAAGAATATCCTTCTTTAGAAAGTATTCAAAGAGGATAGCTTAAATAACAATATAGTAAAGTAGTATTCAAATTAGCTATAGCTATTAGCTTGTATTCCTCCATATAGAGTGTGTCTCGCTATAAAGTAGTAATCAAAGCACTGTGACCTGTAGCTGCTTCAGAGCGCGTAGCAAGAAGTTGCACACACACGCAACTGGGGGAAGGGGGGAGGAAGGGAGATAGATAGCTAAGCCAGTCAAATGCAAGCCAACTTATCTCCCTTCAAATACACAGACTCACGCCCCGATACCCCCCCGGTCTACATGCATATGCAGCATCGGTCATGATGGCTATGGGTGGAGAATTGACATTGTTGCCATTGTGCCCAAAGAGGACAGGGATCTACATTGTTATCACACTCCGCCGCCCTTTTGAGAGTTTTCAGCTGAGACCTTTTTCTGCTCCCTGCCTTACATCCAGCTGAAGCCTCCTAAATAGGAATGCCAGCCGGACGTGCATTGAGATCTGTCACTCCGTCCTAATCTTGTTTTGTGATTCTAGCGAACAATGCTTCTTGGATAATGGTCTGGGCTGCTGCTTGATGGGTATCAAGAAATCATAATACGAGAGGTACTTGAATAAATTACATTTACATATCTTGGGCCGGCCTTTGAAAATGCTGTGAATGAACGACATATACCTAAACTTCAAGGCTCGTCACTATCATTGTCCCTCCGCCATATAAGCTTCTCGTTCCCATATATTCCTTGAGCCCGTATAACAGCGATTCGACACAGAAGAAACAATGCATGAATGCCCAGTTTATCCACTTAGTGTGCGGAATCTATCATGGGGATGTCTTACCGCGGCGTTCTTCTTACATCCTCAGCTCAAAAGCTTATGCCTTTTCGGTCTTCCCTGCAGTCATGGATGAACTGTGACACTGCATTGATAGGCCACCGATATTCCGAGAACCGAATCATGTGGCTATACCCGCCGGACGCAACGACTTGCGGATTTTCTATTTTCACATAAGATCCCGAGGTCTTACTAGGTACTACAGTGGCTACTATTCTCCTTTGCACTTCTAAAGAACACCATATACGTCTTCCTCTCCCTACCCTCAAGACTACTAGATTGAACTCGAAGGGATGTTGTACACCATGCTGGGTCTCATCAATTTTGCGACGCAAAAACCCAACCTCGACGAAGCAAACGAAGGCCTCGCGGGCCACTTCTTCTTAGCAGTATTAGCTATATGTATTGCATACTATTGCATGCTCAAGCCCGTAAGTACCATGTCCACCCACGCTTCGAATTTCGAGGCGCAGGTACTCATCATTGTAGATCAGTAGCCATGGCTCCGGGTTTCCTCTAATTGGTTGGCCAGAAGCGCTCGAGTTCCTATGGCAATCTCACAAAGTGATTTCAAAGCGACTTCAAAAGGCATGGCATCCCTCCCCCTATCCTTCCCCCTTCCTCCCGGTAGCAATAGCTTACAACTCGACTAACACATTCAGTAGGGAGATCTGCATAAATTGCCGTTCTTGTTATCCACGCCTTCTCGCTGGGTTCTAGTTGCTTCAGATTGGGCAATACTAAAGCAGCTGGGACATGCCGATGAAAGAATTCTTTCAATGCAGGCAGCCGCCGATGAGAGAAACTCCACTTCGTACCTCCTCAGCAGTAGCATACACAGCAACCCGTATCATATCGAACTGATCTTGAGAAGGCTCACACCACTTATAGAGGCCCTCATACCAGACGTTCTAGAAGAAGTGGGTTTAGCTTTCGACGAGCACACTGGAAGCTGCAGCGAGTGGGTAGAGTTGCCTCAGCTTGAGGTGCTTTTGACACGATGTGTATCGATAGCTACGAGTCGCGTACTTGTCGGACACAATCTTTGTCGTGATGAAGAGTACATCGAATCCCTCACACGACTATCTCACAGTGCACCTCGTGCCGGCCTGCTTTGCTCCTTGGTGCCACGCACTTTGAAGCCTCTGGTGGCAAGATGGCTCGTTCATCAGTCCTACGAGTTTCAAACATTCTTAGAGAAAGTCATGCCTTTAGTTAAGAATAGACGTCGAATAATTACTACGGAACGAGAGGGAGGAGAAGAACAAACTGTACGTCTACCACGCCACAACATTCGTATGCATCTACGAATAACTGGGTCGACCTTTCGATGCTGACGCCGCTACTAGGGTGATGCGATTCAATGGATCTGCGATGCCGCCCCAACCACAGAAACCGACTGCGAGGTGTGCATGAGGATTCTGTACATCTACATTTCTGCAATTGGTACCACATCTACCGCGATTGGACAAGCGGTCTACGACCTCGCAGAAAATGCCAAATTCCAAGATCCAATTCGGGACGAGATTGTCAGCATTGTTCAAGAATTTCGAGGCTGGTCAAAGTCTTCCCTGAACAAGATGCGCAAGCTGGACAGTTCGATCAAGGAGAGCCAGAGACTGCATCCCGTCACCACAGGTTGGCGCCATCCACTTACAAGCCACACACATCTTATTCATCAACTAATATGATACTAGCTACGATGATGAGAAAGGCACAGAAGTCTTGCACACTTGCAGATGGGACAACTCTCCCTCAAGGACGATGGGTCGTTGTGCCTGCGTATTCCATCAATCGATCTAGCCAGTGGCATGACGAACCAGACATGTTCGACGCATTTCGGTTTTCTCGATTGACTGAGCGAGATAGCTTTGGGAACCGGCATGGAATTGTCATTCCTGGCAGAGGTTTCCTGACATTCGGTATCGGAAAGCACGCATGGTTAGATACAGTCATCTCCTACTAGACGACCTTCATTGCTAATCAGTCATCTCATTGCAGCCCTGGTAGATACTTTGCTGCCGTGGAAATGAAGGTTCTACTGGCGTATCTTATCTGCAACTATGACTTCAAACTTGCGGGTAATGGGAGGCGAAGTGATAAATTCTTTCTGTTTTCCTGCTCGCCCGACTACGGAGAGCCATTAATTGTGAGAAGAAGAACGGATTCGTCCAAGGCTTTTCCCAGCACTTCTCAAAGCTCAAATGCCCAGCTGATACTCTGAATTGGTAATTTTTTTTTACCTTGCTCCTGTTTTATCGCCTCGGTATCCGATGATTATACGAGATAGCTTTAGCACGCTAGTAGTCGAATCCATTTCCATGCAGAAATGCCACGGGCCTGTTGCCTTCTCTCCCAACGGCCAGTTCATCCCCTTTATGATAAGTGATGCTTTAGGGCGCTACCAGAGTTAATAGAGATTCCACTTTGAGTTTGGGGAAATTACTACAACAGGGTGCTTTATTATAACAGCACCTTCAAGGATACTGCAAGACTGTGCCTGAAACCTCGGTGTTATCGATCGCCAGTCAGCAGAGGAGACTTCTATAGAACATGATGCCGGGTTCCCGTGTTAGAATAGAACCGCTGTTGTTTGTAGCCACGGCCCAGCTAGCGATAGTTGAAGAGAGTTTTATTGATTTCTATAGTTGATGAATCGATTTCTAATTAATCATTTAGATTTATTAAATCTTCATCCATAAATGACTCATCCCATGTTCCTAAAGATGAATTGGAGAATTCCTTCATAGCATCCTCAGAGTCAGCAGATAACGCCCGCAAAAAATCTAGACCCAGTCCGTCCTTTTTCATGTCCTCATCACTTACCAGCCCTGTTGTAAGCTCACTAGGCCTACGAATATAAGATGATTTGCCAAAGTTACTAGGTCGCCTCACGTTTCTTTCGTTAACATTCACGTCTTCCGCTCCAATCTTAGCGTTGTGGGCAGTCTGTGCATTCTCCATCCCTCGAGCTCCTTCGGTGCTGGGTTCTGGAAAGACTTCGATGTAGGATCTGCCGCCTGCCGAGTCTAGTGGCGATTGAGATATCGAGTCGCATGCCTTGGGGGTTGTAGGCGACTGATTGGAGGAAACGGAGCTATGGCTAGCCATATTTCCATGTTCAAATCGCCCCTGGCCGTCATCATCTAACCTAGTCAGACTCCGGCCGCGTCTTGACAAAGTATCGACACTAGATACCATTTCCCGCTCCCTGATGTCCTCAAGACGGGTCATGAGTGAGTCCACAATCAAGTTAGCCAGGTTCTCCACTGGAAACGGCAATGGCTTCTTGTCCTTGTTTAATCGTTTTCTTCGACTCTCAGAGTAATTTCTGTGGCGACGACGACTTGGTGGCTGACTGGTCATTGAAACGCTCCCAGGGGATGAATTGCGGAACGGAGTCCCTCGAGTTGGAGGGTCTGGGGCTGCGGGGCAAGTAGGAACTCTGATCGATTCGCCATCGGGCAAGCGTCTCCCTCGGAGTGCACTAGATTCTGACTTCAAATCTTCTTCTGTCAAAGCGTGTTGCCTTTCGCTGTCGCTAGAGCCAGAGCTTGAGGCGGAAGAAGAGTGTCTGGTCCCAGCATTGATGCCTATAATCCCCCTCGGCATGCCCCTGGGCAGGCGAGGCGGGCCCCGTTCGCTCATCAACAAGTCGGTTATGGCTTTTCTTTCTCTTTTCAATTCGAGAAGGATATCGTTGCCAAGGCTCGTGATCTCCTCCATACTCTGCACCGTCAAGCGTTGCACTAGTACTTCTTGTTCTTGCTGGAGTCTTTCCATGACCTCATCGCAATTGGGCTGAACAACTCTCTCCATTTCAACCTTGGCCTTTATCTCTTCTTCCAGTCTTTCGTGTTCACTAACTTGAAGCTGTTGAAGTTCTTCCATTAGAGTCTTCTTCATAGCCTCGGCTCGCTCCGCTTCTGCTTTTTCAGCAAGCATCTTTGCGTCCTCCTCAGCTTTCAACATGGCTTGAGCTCGACGGAGAGCAGTGTTCTCAATTTCCTCGCGCTGTTTCGCTTCTTGTCTCCTCATCTCCTCTGATGCCTCCAATTCAGCTTGGAGCCGGCGTCTCGTATCTTGTTCCACTTTCTGTACCAGCTCGGCATGAGCTTTACGTCTCTCTTCTTGCGCCTGTGCCTCGGCCTCAACCCGCTCCCTCATGGCACGCTCCGCCTCTGCTTTCGCTCTCCCAATCTCCCTCTTGGCATCTTCCTGGGCCTTTCTCATGTCATCCATCCGTCGTTGGAAGGCGCCCTCTGCGTCTTTCCTGATCTGAGCCTCCAGCTCCCGTTGTCTCTCGGCAGCTTTTGCTTGCTCCTGCGCGGCTTTATATGCCCTGATCTCAGCCTCCAACTTTAGTTTTTCAGGATCTGGAGGGGGCGGATCTGTTTTACGTGTCTTCACTGGAGATGGTACCGTATCTGGAGGCAATTGCGGCCCCGGCGGGTTGTAATAGAAGCTCGGTGGGTGATATGGGTAGCCTTGGTAATGGCCCTGCCCATAAGCATTGTAACCTGTCCAAGCTGGCCTCGCCTCTTGAAAGTGGCCATTTGAAGGGCCATGGCTTCCATAGGGAGGCAAATTTGAATCTATATTGGGAGGTTTGCTTCTGCTAGTAGCCTGACCGCGATTGTTCGGCCATGATGTACCCCCAGTGGCCCTCGCGTCCCCACCCAAACGCTGGCGTAAGTTATGCGAGGCCTGGCTGTGGTTTGCATTGTTGGTAGTTTTATTATATGTTCGTCGCGGCGGTCGAAAGTCATCGTCGCTGGTTTGAGCGCCTTGCTGCTGGCTCATCTGCGGCGAGTCTGGGAAATCTGTCGCATAGTTGACGGTATGGGGAGGATATGACGGGTACGACGGACGCAGAGGAGGAGGTCCGCCAGCTGGCGCAGGTTGTTGATCGGAAATAAGCGGGATACGAAGATTAGTTCTCATCGGGACCAGTGGCTGGCTGTATCCGTAGATCCTCTTCCAACTCTGCTCCGGATAGAATGGGCGCTGAGCTCCGTCAGCCGGACCTCTACGGACATTGGGCGCTGGCGGCACCGATGGTGGCTGCTCTGGAGCAGCACCTGTTTGGCGAGTGGGATCGTCTTTGAAAGATCTCCGATGCGCCTTTGATGTTCTGGGCGAGGCTGCAGGTGTCAGCGAGGCGTGTGAGGCAGAGTCACTGGCAGGCAGGTCGTCGTCGATGTTCTCATTCTCGGACGGCTCGCAGCCCACTGAAGCCGCGCTGCCGGCAGCTATCGATCCACGAGAGGCATTTGACGTGGATTTTCTGGCCCATTGCCGGCGCGACGAGCCGTTTGGCTGCGGGATGAGCGAGGGCCGTCTGTGGGAGTTTCCAGGTTGATTGGAAGCCATGCTGAGATGCTCAACACAACGGTGGTATGGTGAAGGGGGAGGAGAAGGCTGGCAAGCAGCATCCTTCGCGGCCAAGGACACTCTCATTCATAAGATTGGAAGTGGCGCAGTGGCCATAAGACCATCTGTAATGGCTGAGTCCTGTCGTACACACCATCATAGATTATGGCTGCATGCGACACTGCAGCTCAGCTGCAACACGCCGTAATAAGCCACAGAAGACCCATCTCGACATCGCAAGGCAACCGCAAGGCAACCGCAAGGCGACCAGCCAATGTCTACAAGAACGGTCCGCCCCCACTCCATGTTACCCCCTGAGTGGATTTGTGTCTGGGTCATCTCCAGCAAGTTTGATTTCAAGGCGGGATCCGATCGACCGTTGCTACCAGCTTTGCGATGGCCTCTCCGGGTGCTGAAGGTGCTGGCAAACAGGTTAGAGCGGAAAACAGATCAACCGGGAGCCAGTTCCTCGCGGATGGTCACGGAGACCTGAACGCAGCGAGTGGCAATGGGATCGTGTACAAAGATCACCGCGTCTTCAATTGTCAGTTATCACTCTGCTAGCAAATTCAACCCAATTCTGACACATAATGCAGTCGCGACACCGGGTATTCCGTTGGGATGGAACTTGGCCGAGACCTTGAATGGGATGGGGAATGCCCTGCATCGGCCCCAAAGTATGATGGCAAGACCAGTATGTCCCAATGGAACGATCGCTAACACTGCAACAGATGCTGCCATCTGCGAATGGCTGAAGAAGCAAAAGGGGTCACCTCCTCTTGACGCTTGTCGACAATATTATGTTGAAACGAAAAGCCAGATGGTCAATGGAACTGGCTCATGGATTCTACAAAACGAGCAATTTAGAGCTTGGAAGGATCCCACGAACCTTTCGACCAAATTGGCCTTGGAGGGAATACGTAAGCATTCACAGCGCAATATTTGATCGCATTATTAACAAGTGCTTTCAGTTGGGTCAGGGAAAACAATGTTGGCGTTCGTTCCCCCTCGCTCCGATGTTATCAAAGTCGTATGCTAAATAGATTCTAGGACTCATATAATAGACTCCCTATCACAAGAGATAAAGGGCCAGGCTGGAGTTGCATGCATCTATTTCTACTTCCACGCGGGCAGTAGCGTGTCCCCTGATCGCGTTTGGGCGACCTTACTGTACCAACTATTGCAATTTGAGAGCCCGAAAGGAATTACGCCGGACTTAACCTCCAGCTTTCAAGGCTTGACCTCGCTTTGCGCATCTGAATACTATGATCTTTTCGTCGCCCAGGTGTCAATGTTCAATGGCGTGTCCTTGATATTCGACGGTCTCGATACGTGGTCGTCTGAGCAAGCCCAAGAATGCGTTCAAAACTCATTAAGAACGATGCCTGGGAATGTCAAAATTCTCTTTACAGCTCGCAGCGATGCTGTGGCGCGAAGACTTGCAACGAAACAAACCATTCGAGTTAAACCATCTGCATCCGATGTCAAGGCTTATATCGAAAATCGCATCGATGGTCACACAGGATTGAGCCAAATACTATCGAACAACGCTGATAGGGTGAACGTCGTCGAGAAAGTAGCGGATAGTGTTTTGAGGAGTGGAATGTAAGGCTATCTTCATTTTGATCTACCGATTCAATTTTTGCCAGCTCACACTCTCATAGGTTTCTCTTGGCTCGACTCCATTTGGACAAGATAAGCAAACAAGTGCTACTTGCAGATATTCACGAGACCCTGCTCCATCTTTCTCAAGATTCGGGGTCTGCGTTCAACTCTTGTGTCGCTCAAATTGTCAATGAACCAAGGAGCTCTAAAAGCCAGCTGGCAAAACACGTTCTCACATGGATCGTCCACGCAAAAGCTAACCCTACCGTTAAGTTGCTACAGGATAGTTTCGCTATTCAACGGAGTAAAGGGGCTTGTTCTCGCAAATATCGGCCTCCTGGAGATACTATGATCTCTGCCTGTGCCGGATTGGTGGTTGTTGACCAGGGCCATCTCTCCCTTGTTCATGACTCCGTGAAGAAACATTTATACGAACATCAACTGGTCCCTCTGGTGGCAGATCTAGAGATAGCCAAGACATGCCTCATGTGCCTCTTATCTGACGAGCCCAGGGACGAGCCCAGAGCTGATACTGAGCCGGCTTCTCTGCTTTCATATGCAGCCTCGCATTTATTCTTTCATCTCGAAAGAATGAACTACGGCAAACTGGATCCGGAAACAACTGAGCTCCTGCACGAATTTCTCTGCAATAAGGCCAAGCTCACAAGAGCTTTTGAGTCCATGCCCATAATCGATGACTTGAAAGTTGCTGGATTGACGGGTTTACATGCAGCCGTGTATTTTGGCAACGAACCATTAGCCAAGGATATACTTGAAAGGGGGGCTGTAGATATCAACGCCAGATGCATTGACGGACAGACAGCATTGCATTGGGCGGTTAGACTGAGCCACATTCAGCTCGTGAGATTTCTGACAGGCGAGAAGGCAGATAACAACATCATGGACAAAAGCGGAGATACACCTCTCCACAAAGCTCTCATGGGTCATAACAGAGATCATCTTGAGCTTGTCCAGATATTGATTGGTGGGGGTGCTAGAATCGACATTCGTGGCGCCAAAGGCTACACACCCTTGTCGTGGGCCATACGATATGGACCAACAGAGGTCGCAAAGCTCATGATCATCAGCCAGAAGAACGTGACCTCTGAGGTCGAAAAGGGGTGGACCACTTTACGTGAGGTTTTCTTCCACGGTTATGACATTGTTCAGAATTTTCCACCGGGCGAATTGAAAACAGTGCAAGAGGCAGTCGAAAGCCACGTGAAGAGCTTGACTGACCTTTTGTTAGACCAGCTCCTGGATCTCAACCACCCAACAAGTGACGGCTGGCTGCCATTAATCCACATAGTACGGGTGGGGAGCACCAGCATACTGGAGAAGTTACTCACAAGACAACCAGGCCCTGCTGACCCCAATCTGAAGGACTCCGATTTTCACAGATCCCCTCTTCGATGGGCCATGTTGTATAAAAGGAAAGACCGGGCACGAATACTCATTGATCATGGTGCAAATGCCAACGAACAAGACGACGATGGTTGGACGCCACTTATCCAGGCTGTGCAAGACAATGATCAAGACTTGGTCTGGCTTCTCCTCAACAACGGCGCCTCTCCAAACGCACTAAATAGGAAGAACACCCCGGCTTTGGTATACGCTATTGAGAGTGGCAATCCTAATCTCGCGTGGCTTTTGGTCACCCATGGGGCTGACGTGACGCAACTAAATAACAGGGCTCTTGAGCTGGCATTGGAAAAGGACGATATCACGACTGCATCACTATTGTGCCTCCACAAGGCTAACCCCAACTTTACCAGCCGCGATGGCAAGACGCAACTGCACAAGGCCTCCTGCAATGGAAATGCCAAGGTTGTCGAATTTCTCCTAAATCAAGGTGCCGAGGTGGGCCGCAAAGATAACGAGGGGTCTACTGCTCTCCATTATGCAGTGCTTGGCGATTTTGTCAAAATCACCATGCTGCTTGCATGCCATGCTTCCCAAAAAGACCTCGAACTTTGCGATGCTCGTGGAAGGTCGCCTGTTATTCTCGCAACACAGAACCGGCACACAGCTGTCTTACGCACCCTACTCTGCAATGGCGCTTCGTGCGATGTGCGGTGCCCACAGGAACTGACAGCTCTTCATTACGCTGCAATCGAACATTACGACGAGGGTCTTGAGATTCTGCTGAGGTATACGGACAAGGTTGACATTACAGATCCACGTGGTTATACAGCACTACATCACGCTGCGTACAATAGAAGCAACCACTGCCGAGCCATCTCCTTGCTTGTCTTGGGCGGCGCCAATTTGGATTCCAGAGATCGAAATGGCTGCACTCCCTTGATGATCGCGACTCAAGCCATAAATCTGGTAGCCGTGGGACAGTTGATTCAACTGGGGGCCGATATACATCTGCAGAACGATCGAGGATGGACGGCACTGAAATTAGCTCGCAGGAAACAAGACGAAAGCCTTGTACAAATTCTCGAGGCCGCGGGAGATGGAGATATATCCCATTAATATATTAGCAACATGGAAAATTATTTCTGGACAAAATTGAATGTGCTCCCGTGAGTGACGCCGTTGACTTGTACAGCCTTCCCAGTCGCGACATTCTGGTTCCCGATGCCACTGTATACAAACTGTTTGCCAGACCCTGTATTGCGCAATGATACTGAAAGCCCCTCGCCTAAATTATTTTCCGGCATCTGTTCGAGGTTGTGCCCGATCTGTGCTCTCGCTGCGGACTTGATGACATAGTTTGCAGTCAACGCCTGGAGGTCCCTCGTGATGCCATCCACCAGCTTTTCCACCGAGTCGGCTTTGGGGATAGTCTTGAGCGCCTGTAGATATCTTTTGGGGCGTGACATTTCTGCCGCGGGAACAACCGCCGCGAACAGGTCCCGTAGAACGAGAGCCTTCGCCTCGGCGGATTGCAGGAGCGTCTTCAAAGATGTCAGGGATTCGTTAGGCCCCTCAGCCTGGTCGGTCTTGAGGCCTTGCCTGGCGAGGACAAAACTGTCTGAAATGAGGGGGAGACGCGCGGCGGCATCGCGAAAAGCAGGTGGCAATCCCGACGCGTCCTCTGCGGCTCTAGTGAGTTCAATGCACGCCGAGAGGAACGTGATGATGCCCGATGCGACGCCAATGATTTCCATGCCGGACATGGTCTCTGACGGGATTGGGATTAATGGTAGAGGCCACGGATGCAGGTGAGACGAATTCATGCTGGAAGGGGTGCCTTGCTGTGGCTGTGAGTATTGCTGCATAGCCCCAATTATCGGTTACACCGTCTCACCTGCATATTAATCTCATTTCATTCGTCCAAAGTGGAGGATCTCATCAAGGCGAACCATTTGCCGTAGTTCGCAAAAAATAAAAATCGCTCACGTATATCTGTGCCCAATCACTTAGCCTGGGTGCATCACAACACGCAAAGTCCCCTCATTATCTTTGTGCCAATGAACTTGTGACAGAATCATTTTGGAATAATTCAGCGCTCTCAAGTAAGCCCAATTAAATATGACTTTGGCAGCACCTGAAACCACCAAGGGACAAGTTCTCAGGTCTCTGCGTGATGCCATCTCAAGTCTCAAAGAAACAACGGCAACATGCTGCAACGCGATCCAAGAAAACTCTGACCTCCACGAGGCCTTTTTGGTCGTGTCAAGACACTTACCATGTCTTCTCAACACATTCACCACGATTGAAACCCACCTGAAGTCACAAACTGAAGAAATCCCAGAAATTAAAGAAATGTACCCCGATATCAGGCTAGTGGCTGACGAGTATCGCAACCCTGTCAGGTCCATAGAGGACCTTTTCGAATCCGTCAAGGGCGTCAAGGGCGAGGAGAGAACAAAGAGGTACCGCGCTGCTGTCCAAGAATGCAATGATAGGAAGGTGGAAGGCGTCATGCTTGACCTGCTCGAACGCGCCATCGACATCGCTCAGGCACCGCTTGTCAGCGACGAGCAGATTGAGCAATTGCGAAATGCTCTCGCCGAGATCAGAAAGCTGCCACCTTCTCTGGAAGACGTCACTACCGGGGGTTTCACAATGATCAATCACGGGTCGGGAAATCAGTTCTACCACGGCGGTAAAGGAAGCATGAATTACTCATCAGGAGGTCTCATGGTCACTGGAGATAATCATAATGCGCATTACTCCTACTCAGCGGGCCCGAATTCTACTACACAGTCATAGGTTTAATGAACAGTTTGAAAGGCTAGCTTGAGCCTTGACTTTCTTGAAGTTATATGGATCCCAAGTAAAAGTTTTATATACCGTATGCCACTACTTATAACTAACTACTATATTATTAAGTCAGGGCCTACTTGCGTAGCTAGGGAAGGTTGTATAAACTTAGCTATATCTTATCGTTTCAAAATATATTTACTTTTTCCTTCTAGTTATATTTACTTTTAGAAATACTATCTTTAAAATATCAGTCTTCCTATATTTTTAAGCCTTAATTATAATATAATAAAGTTAGATAAAAGTATAAACTATTTAACCTTATAATACTTAATCTATAAAGCTAAGCTCTAAGTTTTTTTAAATATCTATTTTTAATAGATTTAATCTAAATTTAAAAGATTCTTTTTTTCTAATTCTTTTTTTTTTACTCTAAGCCTGAAGCAGTTTTTTTCTCTATAAGTCTGGCTCTTAGTATAGTACTATATTGTTTCATGATGAAAGTTCTATGCTACCTCGATCAGCGTCTCCTTGTATGGAGTAATCACAACAGGTGCTCTCAATCCATAGTCTTGGGCAGGCGGTGTTCTGTTCTCAGGGGTCGGAACAGTGCCCGAGAACCTCATATCATACCAAATGGGTCGCAGCCTGTTAATCAAGGTCGTCGCGATAACAATCGTAACCTCATTCTCCCCTTTCACCAAGTACGGCCCAATGTCAGCTCGGCCATGCGCTGGGTCCAACGGCGGAAGCTGCTCTCCGTTTACGAACATTGTCAACGTCTGCACGATCCGACCGACGTCGATGAATGCGCCGTCAACCTCGCCAGACGTAGGAGGCCAGTCGAATTTGGTACTGTAGTGACCTCGTCCACTTACATCTTCCAATCCGGCTATTTCGCGCCAGCTCACTAGGGAAGAGAGCTTGTGCGTTGAGTTGGACTTGACGGCAGTGATGTAAGCGTCGTTGAAGTCTTGGGGAGGGTCCCAGTGCTCTACAATGAGGTCCCATTCCTTCAACTCAAATTGCTTAACCTCTGTAGCGTCAATTTTGTGCTCGCTGTCGTCAGATGCTGTAATTTGGAGGCTCTCGCCAATTGAGCCAATTTTGATGCTGATTGCCTCCTTTGATGCAGATATCGAAAGCACATTTTCAGGCACAGAGGTGAGATGTACCCGAGGGACATCTGCCAGAGGCTCTGAATGGAACGCAATGATGGTCGTCTGGTTTCCTTGAAAGGTGAAAGGGATAATCGTGCGCGTCTCCGTCTGCTCATAAACAACGACAGGCGTTCTTTGTCCGGTCCAAATGTTATACTGGTAGGGAATCTTGGTCGACAAGAACTCAATCGTGCCAGTGGATAGGCTCTCGGCCTCATTGTACACCCAGACGTAGTCCACATCGTTCTTGGTGTCCTCGCGCCAGACCGTGTACCATGTCGTATTGGCTGAGACTTTGGTCAAAGGTTCAATGCCAAGCGATGCAATCATGTTCGCCAGACCAGCTTCTTCCGACACGATGTGGACATTGTCCAGCTCGGCAATCTCGTGCATGGTCTTGTTGACTATATCGGCGTGGCACTGATGGGCATTCCACATGCGAGTCGGGACGCCGCCCTCGAAGATGATCGGCAGACCGGCTTTGGCGTATTCGGCAAGCTTGCGGGCACCTGGTACGGTTATAAAGTCGAGGATTCGCAGGATCAGTATCTTGAACTGTTGTCTTTCTGGAGCAAATATCTTGTCTTCGACGACAGCTGTGTCGAGTTTGTAATTTTCCGGGCTGAGATATTCATACGTGTAGCCTACAAGGAATTGTCAATCAATGAAGCAACTCAAAAAACCTCGATGGAGAGACTCACCAGCATCAACAAGGTCAGTTTTGATGTAACTAGCATTTCCAGGGAACCAAAAGCGCTTCATCCAGAACAACACATCTCGTCTCGGCACACCCGTCTGCATAATTCGCTGCAGCCTACCCATCGCGTCCATGTACTGCCAGTAGTCATCCCAAGCCGGCTGATGTCTGTTGTGACAATCCGCAAACTGGTAGCCAAACGTCATCATACCAGGCCAAGTCGTGTTCGGATATCCTCCCGAGTACGGCGATCCATGAATAACAGCTTGATTCACCCCACCAGCGACGGAGCGCATGAAGATATCCATCAGCTCGGGCAAAGTCTGCTGGAACGCTTTGTAGATGTCGGCACCGAGCTCGATGGAGATGACGCGCTTGCCGGCGAGGTTGGCGGGTCCGACGTACTGCCGGTACTTGTCCACGATGTTTTCATAGATGAGACTTTCGGTTTCGGGAGCATTGACCTTGGGGATGTTTTGCTGCATGTCCATCCACATTCCGTAGGAAACTTGGTGCGAATACTGAACGTTGAGTTTTTCGTTTGCCCATCGGTTCCATTCTGCGAGGAATTCTCCGTAGCAATTTGCGGTCTGCCAAATTAGTCCCTGCTTAACCGAATAGACTGAAAAACTTACCGAAGTCATGTAATCCATTCGATATCGTTCACCTTCATCCCACTGGTCTGTGTTGTAGCCTAAAGCCGCAATGGGAAGAAATCTCTGGAGCTCATATCCATGATCCTTCTTGAATCGGCCGAGAAACCCTTTTGTCCAGCGGACCTTTTGTCGAATCTCCATGCTATCTTCCCAAGCGTAGTTGCCCACTTCGCGAACGAGGTCGAGCACGCCATCCGTCAACATATTTTCCTCCCAAAACTTGGCTGCCATCTTGGCTCCGTTGGTACTATAGTGATCCACCGCCCAGCTGCCATTCTGTATCCATGATTCAGGCTTGGATTGTGGACCTTTCATCAGTTGCGGGCTACTTTGCGCCATGAAGTGCGAGTGAACGAGGTAGACGGAGAATAAGATGTAGTTGTAATCATCAGTATTAGGAAGGTCAATCTTGAGGTGGCCATCATTGCTGACGAGTTCAGTGATGTCTTGAAGAGTGTTGACTGCCAGGACCTTCGCGTTGCCTCCTTTTCGTGAACCCGCGAGAACTACCGTCTCTAGCGGGCCAGTTCCCCATCCTTGGAGGACTCCAGCGAACTCTGTCACATTGGCTGCAAAACGTGTTTCTTGGACGGTCAAGTCCCATGCCTTTCCGTCGTCATTGTAAGGAGCAGGAACGCCTTGACCTTGGTTGGGACCCATGGCGAAGTCCATGATCAAGCCGTTGTCTTTTGTTGCTTGCGCAAATGTCTTGAAAAGTTTCTCTGGAAGATGATTAGCAAATTTCGCCTCTCGAGCATTACCCTACCACTTACGCCAGGCTTTTGTTCCCCAGCCGTAGATTGACCAATCGACAGGGGCATAATCACCCCAACCAAGAGGTGGTCCGCCGTACAAGTAGAAACCGAGGAGCTCAAAGCCAGAAGCTCCGATGCGACCGATTTCTTTCACGTCATCGACGACCCATTCGAGCTCGGCCGCTGCATCAGGGATCCAGTAACGGAACCGCGGACGGACATTGACAGAGGGGTTCTGGAAGGTGCCAGCATCGATCTCTGCCTCAACCTGGTCATTGATTCGGTCGTTTGGCAATGCGCAAGCCGGTGGGACAGCTCTGGACAAGAGCGCCCATCGCAGTGCCTGCTACAATGAGTAAAGGCCATCAGAAATGATCGGAACAAAAAGTGCACCGACCTTGTGGAATCTCATTGCGGCCAAGCTTTATGCAAGCCACCTTGTCAATACGGGATGGTTGGAATCATTTCATGGCACTGTCTACCTCTACCTTATATAGAAGCTCGTAGTTTCCATCTCGGGTCAAATAGCCACGAAGAGACAATTTGCCAAGCCGTCGCTTTATTTTCCACGTTCTTTCCGACGTGAATATTCCGGCGGTTAAAATTCTATTACTAGAGTAGAAGAATTGACAAAAAGACCCTGGGGCCCCGCATCGTTTCCCCGCGAAGCCCGGATGGACTTCTACCGGCCTACCAAAGTTTGAGATGGATACATTCTAGTATTTGCAGCATAAGTCTTTTCACCCTCCGCTTCCAACCCCCTCTGTCCTACCTACACCTTCTTCACCTCCCACGCCCCCACTAATAAAGACTACCAGGACAGCTGCATACGCGGAGCAGGCGCCGAAGAGCTCGGCCCGCCGGGCGTTAGTGAAGAGCGGGATGGCGAAGGCGAATAGTATCGTAAACAGGGCGATGAGGCCGAGTTTCAAGCCGAGTCGCGAGCTAGACGCGCCCCACAGCCCGTAGATAGGCAGCAACATGAGGGAACAGACTAGTAGCGCCGTGATAAGAGACGCAGCGAATGAGAGAAGTCGGAGCGAGTACGTTTGCAGTTGCGGTGGGCGGAGGTGCGTGACTAATGGCATGGCTAGATGGGGGGCTGACAGTGACGGTGAGGAGGAATGGAACGTTGATGAAGGCGCGCTCCGTGGCCGGAAAATCCATGAGCAGTGCGTCTTGAGGAAGCGGCCAAGCGGGTCTGTGTGCGTTTGAGGGGAGACGGAGACGAGGTCGATCGGTCGCTGTGATGTGGGAGTGCCGGGTAAGGGATAAAGAGTTGAGCCGGCCCCTGAGAGAGTCGGCAATGTTGTTTCTTGGCTGGCGGAGGATGTCGCGAAACCGTGTTGTTGGTGAAAATAGTGTGATAAAGCCGTTAGTGTCTGCTTAGACGGTGGACGAAGCGTGAGGAGCGTCGAGTTCAGCAGGAGGGCTTCCCCTGAGGAATGCATAGTGTTAGATGGAAGCTTGGAAAGACTCTTTGCGAGTAAGCCATGGGGGATTAGTTGAGAAAGGGATGAACTGTATTCTCTAATGTCGACCGGACCTCCATCGCGAGGTCCATCCTCTTCTTCCAACGCTCATCACTTTTGTCATTGGCCTCAGCTTCCTGCGCAGCTCGGTGTTTGAACGACACCCAATCTCGAGCATTTGTGCGAATCCGCCACTGTAAATTATCGGCATTATCTGGTTTTCTTGCGTCGAGAGCGTCCTCGCGATCATATTGATTTTGGAGGGCTTCCAGTTCCAAAAGTTCGCATTCATAGTACAGCAAGTCCCGTGCCGCTAACTTGTCAAAGCGTTTATACACCGCAGTGGTTTGATCCTCGTCACTAGCGATAAGGCTGGCCAATTCGCCGAAGCCTGTAATATAGTGAACATTAATGTTTGCTTGTTCTTCATCGGTCGCCATTTTGACGTTTAGAGCCCATGACTGAAATCCAGCGGTATGTCGTTATTTCCAGTGTTGGAATCGGTTTGATCCCTCTCATTTACAGTCACCTCAGTACGTCATATTCGAGGCTTCTTCTTCAAGCTGACCGTACCAATACCACCTAAGCGTGCATAGGTGGCATGACGAGTGACAGGCCTTTCGGGACTTTGAGAGCCGCTGGATACCAATCGTCAGACCAAGCCTGCCGCCTCACTCATGCAAGCTACACTTTTCCCAACTATTTCACACCGGTCGGGTCAGCTTAGTACCCAAGGCAAGGCAGAAAACCAAGGAAAACAACAAGGCATACATTATTAAGAATAAGCCACGCCCAAAATGCTGGGCCGATAATTAAGGCCCACACGGTAGAATGGACCAACCACCATCTCTTCTTATATGCAGGAAGGGCAGTTCGGCGCACGTTGTTAGCCTTAACTTTTGCGAATCACTAGAGCCACCTCGATTGCGAACCAACAAGGCAATATCTGAGTCAGACACTACTCACCACGCACGTTTGCAAGATCGGCGGCTAGACCATACAACCTGCTTCCATCGCACCGAAAGCGCTTACTCGTAGTCGTGGTAGCACAGTAACTCCAAAAACCCTACTCGTCCAGTAGGTATGCCCAAACTTATCAGCTTCCTCTCGAGTCAGGTTATCGCGACGCCCTCGCCAGCCCCACAACAGCACTACCAGCTGAACGTCCTGCTGTACTGAGGCCAGCTTTTGCCATCGTGGTTGCCACTAATTGTTCTCGCTTGGTTGAGGTTTTCTAGCACCGCCTTGCCGCAGCAACAACACCATCAGCTTAGGCGCCAGCACTGCAGCCTATCAGCCAACACCGAACCTGAACTCCCGGACCCCAGGCCGCCACGCCCAATTCGCTCTCGGTCCCGGGTACACTCTCGCAAAAACGGATTTATACTAGGTACCAGACCTCAACAGACCTTGATTTCACTGATCCCGCCCATAACCGATGATCGAGCGGTATCTAAGCCATCCATCAACCTTATTGCACTGAAGCCGTTCCACGAAATGGTATTCCATACGATATCAGCGCCAGGTCGGTAACGCACTTGCGAAGCAAGAACAAACAAGAAGTCCCCGCATCCCACACGTTTTGTCCTTCTTACAACCGTGTGCCTATTGATAACAAGGATTCATTTCGGTCTCACGTCCAGATCAATCCAGAAAAACATGCAAAATGCTTCCCGCACGAGGTTTTTTCCACGCACCTCATTCAGTACCTCAAAAGTGAGTTCATTTCACCCTAGACCACTATTAGAACATATTTGTAACTACTCTACAGGCATGCAGAGCAACCACATACAGATCGTCCTCAGCCAGAGACTCAATTAACCCACGACCAACTGGTGGCTGAAGTGAAGGGGATATATGCTGCTCTTGTTATGATAGAAACCAAGTACATTGAACTGGAAAATGTTAAGTTACCCGACTCCGGTGACCATAAGTTCAACAAGGAGTCTTGGCAAGCCGCGATAGCTTACCACCGAAAACGAATAGCGTATGAGCAGATACTGGCCTTTGTACCGCCACGTCGGCTTGTTTCCAAGTATTCCATGCCCGCCCGTATGTGGCGGCATGATGTTCATTCTTTCTCTGAGCCGCCCCGACACAGACGACCAGCATCCCTGGATGGACCAAAGCAGAGATCCGTCCTGCCCATAAATCTGAAGGGCAAAACTCACCATGCATTAGCAGACACGATGGCGTCTAAGAACGTCATGTCTGAGGAACATGCCGTCTCCATTGGCGCGGTCATCGATCGGGGTCGAGGGAAACAGCATACTTTTACGAATGCTGTTGGAAAGTATTTCCAATCACTGGGTGAAACGACAATCGAAGTCTTATTCCCTGATGACCCTTTGAAGAAGCTCAAGCAGACATTCGCGGTCGTCAAGAATTGTGCGGCAGCATTGGTCATGGGTGATCCTTTTCTAAGGATGACGGAAACCCTCACGAAATCTCGGCATCGTCTGAAAACGGTAGCTCTCACGGTGAAGCAGCACTGGAGACTGTGTTATATGGACATTCCTCATCGCCAGCTGAGCTGTTCAATCGATGGACATTCTGTTTTGGCGAATGCAGACACCGGCTCCGAAATTGACTTGCTGACACCAATATGCGCGGCTGGTCCATCGAGAAGTTAGGACCAGATGATGGATATGTTGAGCTTGCCGACACATCCATTGTAAAGCTGACTGGGCATGTTGATGTCTGGCTGGATGTTGGTGGAAAGTCTACATGGAGAACATTTTACGTTCTGAACAGACTGCAGTGCGATGTGCTGCTAGGAGATGAAACACTCCATAGCCTCAATGCTTTCAGCTTTCATGAAAGCTTATTCATAGATCGGGATTTCGTTGGCGCGAGTGCCGAATTCCACGCAATCAAGTGGAAGGAGAGAACGCACGATCATGTAAAACAAATTTTTGGAAGACAAGCTCCCTCCAGAACTTGTGTCTGCAGAGTCCTCCCCAAACGCGAAGAGGGGAAGCCTCTGGAAGCGCCTTGTCAGTAAAGTATCTGGCATCTCAGCAATAGAAGATATGAGAGGTGAGTAATTCCCATGCCCGCTCCACCCACACAAACGAAACCCTAAATCAAGATACTGGAAGTCCTAACTTTGGTCCAGACTGGGCAGTGGCATTCCAATGCAGCCTTGAAATCCTAGAGACTGTTGAAACGGATCGTCAAAATCTGGCCAACAAGCAGATGGAGTCGCTGACCGGTGATGAGTTGCAAAGAGCTAAGGATAACGACGAAGATCAGAAACTTCAATATCAATATCAACAGAAAAGAATCCTGACACAAGAGCAGGATTTACAGCGTAGGTATAGAGGAGTTTGATCAGTGGGTTGCATATGATTTAATTTCGAGGTAACTTGGTATGGATTTCAATCAGATCAGTGGAATTAGCAATTCTGAATTTAAGTCATTTGGAAAGGCCTTCTCGGACCAGATGACGAAGTGGATGATATGCTTTCATAAGAAGTATTTCAAGCGAGTGCTCATTGGCACCTTCATCAACGCCTTCCAGCATAGCGTCAACGAATTCACCAACTATTCGACGACACTGTTTCAAAACCTTGGCTACTATGATAAGGGAAGGCTCATGCTCGGTGGTCTGTTTAGTGCTGTCCAGTTAGTGGCTGCGGCGGTATCAATCCTCATCATCGACTATCCGGGCCGCAGACCCCTTCTTATTTTTGTTCTTCGTCGCTGTCGTTCTCACAAAAGAGAGAAAGAGAAAAAAGGAAAATAATAACAAGATACATGCCATTCCTTCAGTGCCAACCGTCCAACTGCTACGCCGCTCCTTTTGCAAGTTGAGAAGCCATTGAAGGGGCTGGCTGGAGCACCGTAGCGAGAAGTGGCAGGAAGGACCGTCACAGAGTGCATAGAGTTTGACCGTTGGCGTCATCGTGAAAAATCAGGCCCAGAAGAGCAGTGGGTTTTTAATTTCGTGGTATCTGATTAAGAGCCAGAACTAACTTGAGCTGTATGTAACATTTGTGGCGCATATTCGTGGGCAACTTGAGTTGATATTAGAATCCGACAGCGATTATATGGCCACGCCCATTTGCCAGACCCGAATGCTTCATGGTGCGACAGATGGCAATGGAAGGGAGAGCTTACTTGTACATGATCCAGTAGAATGAGCCGAGCATACTTCCCGTAGATGATTGCTGTAATTCCGGCCATTGCTGCATCTTCGATCTTGGCACCAGGTGATGTGTTTCGTCTCTGCATCATCAAGAATACCGTATGAGTGTGGATCGAGGTATTAGCTGAATTGGGCGTTGCTGCAGACATCTTCTGGTCCTAGAATGTGTTTCGATAATTTTCGCGTCATTCTGATGAAAAAGTAATTCCCAATCCTCTGCCAACCATAGTCAATCGAACAGTTACAACACCTGACCCCGTGGGCAGAGACCGGACTATAGTCAATTTCTTCCTTCGATGCCTCATATTTACGCAATGAGTAGGTGACTGGCCTGCGGATATATTCGCATCGGAGAGAGGGAGACCTTTCACAATGACATCGCATGTATGGATCAGTCGCGATTCCAGTAAACTTCGGATTGTGCGAGTGAAGATGACAGTTGACAGCGATGGCAGGTGTATCATGATTGGCCACGGACTCACTTCCAGTGCAGCTTGGACACCTCTCCGAGTGATGCGCTCTAGACCATTGCCACTATGCCAGCAACTACGTAGTCTCAGGTGTTATTTTGGCTGAAAGGGCTCTGCTACTTGAGTGGCGTGGGGGAAGTGGGACTAGGGTCCTCCCGTTTCTACTTTGTCTAAGTCAAATCCACTTTTTATATCAAACACTATGACTGATAGAGGATTGCAGAAGGGACATGACTCATAGACTACGATTCGTTAGCAATCTAGAGGGAGACTTCTAGGACAATAAGCTGCCGGTTTGATAGGCTGCCGGCAGGCTAAACTGTTGTGCCACCTCTAGGTATGTACGCAATTTTCCAGACGATGCTGGAATGACGGAGATTCCATTCTACTACTTCGAGATATTGCGATGTCAATCGGAGCGCGAGCTCGATGGGAAACGCGCCTGCCTTGTTTGATTCCGCAGTCATCGCTCGCTCGCTCTGTTGGATAAGGGTCAAGCTTCTGGAATGCTATGGATAATCACTGCCCGTTCCACCTCTAGCGACGAGTAAGAGTAGAAACATAGAATCTACCGTCTCGATAACAACAGAACCTAGCACCAAAGGATAATAGAACTGTATAAAAGGATGGCCGAGGCGTCCCTATTGTCTGCCCTCACTTATTATCAGCATCCTAAGTATCTAGGATTATCTAGTCATCAAGAACCACAAGCCGCCTTTAGGACCATTCACCAGGAAATACATTTAAAACATCCAAAATGCGTTTCAACATCTTATCCGCTGTCATCGTTGCGCTCTCGGCCTCAACAACCTGCGCCCAAGTCATCGAGCCCAAGGCTGTTGTTGATGCTATCGACAAGATCACCGACTTGTCCAGCGACACTGCCGATGCCGCCGAAAAGGTGCAGCAGGGTGATGTCACTGCCATTGTGCCTGCGGGCTTCGTAAGTTCTACTGCCAAACCCTTGCTTTTGAGTTTGCGGCGGTCTGACATCAATGGATGCGTCTTTAGAGAGTCGTCAATGGTTTCAAAGATATCATCAGCACTGTGACCATGACCATCTCCGACCTGGGACAGATGGATCCTCCCGAAGAGGATTTCGCAGAAGAGGACCAGAACGCTATTTGCAAGGCATTCACCGGGGTACGTATCTAACTGGGACACCCTTCAAATCCTTGTCATGGCGACTAACGTGGATGATTCTCTTCCAGTTCGTCATGGTTCACCAGGATCTTCTCCGCGTCGTTATCGGCAAGAATAGTCTGCTAGCTAGTCTACCCGTTGGTAACGCCATTGCCTCCGTTCTCCGCACTTTGGAGGGTGGTGTTGATGAGGTGGCTAAGAAAATCATCGAACTTGTGCCAACCTGCGCTGAGCAGGCTAAGAAGGACCTCGGGGATCTTGATGATACTATCAGCAAAGCGATCAAGACTTACTCCTCCTAAATGGGGGAAGCTCCCAAGGATGAGTGAAGACCTGCTAGGATTATATAGGTCAGCTATGTTAACTTCATAGGTGAATTAGAGGAGTAAGAGGTAGACAATATATTATTCGGCAATGCCTCTAATCAGGCCTATTATTAAAGTAATCTACAGGTGGGTCTCAAAAGTCTGAGACACCCTTCGCGTATTTTCATATTAATACTATTATAATAATATTTATTTAATATTGTATTTTCATAATAACTTTTTACAATAGCTTTTAATAGATATAAATTTAGTACTATTATATCTGCAAATTATTAAAAAAACTATAAATTAAAACCCGAACTTCGTATAGCTATTTATAATACTTTTAGTAAGGGTTAAAGTAAGAGTGTGATTATATATAAGTTTAATATTTCCCAGACTACTATCTTTAATGCAATTAAACAGTTTAATATAACTGAGAGCTTTACTTTACTACCTCGTTCTAGGCAGTCTAAGGGTCTTATAGCTAGGGAAATATATACCCTAATATATACTATTTATATTAACTTCCGTATACTGAGAAAATTACTAGTTATAGTACAGGGTCTTTTAATCTCCCCCTCTATAGTGTGCAGGGCTTTAAATAAGTATAACTTATATAAATAGAGATCTAAGAAGAAGATTTCTATATTATAGGAATATACTATAATCCAGTTTAAATTTATAAAAGACTAGGGGAGAAATAAAGAAGAATTAGTTTATATATATAGGTTTAAAATCCCTGTCTAAGTTAGCTGCTAATTAGGCTCTTAAGATTATCTATTCGGATAAGTATTCAGTCTAGAATTCAGCTTTAAATCCGGATATATAGGTATAGTAATATTCTTATAAAGCCTATAACCTGAAATTTATTAATTTAGTTAATTATAGAAAGCTAACTATCTATATTATAGTATAGGCAGCAGTCTGGGATTCTAACTGTATAGACCTTATAATAATAATATATAATAAGCTTTTAAAGAAGAAAGGATATACCTTAAGGAGTTATATTCAGGCTCTTAAGGAAAGTCTTCTTCCTTACTATAATAGAATATATTATTTTTAATAAGATAATACCTTAATCTATTGCTCAGCTGCTATAACAGAATAGCTATTAAACTATATAGTTAGTATTATTAACTAGCCTTTTTATAGCCCGGATTTAAACCTAATTAAATATATATAGACTATATTAAAAAGGAGGCTTTATAAATTATTCCCTTATCTCTATAATTTATATATAAATCAGCTGGATATTATAGAATTTAAGAAATACCTTTAGATAGTATAGCAGTCTCTTAATCAGGCTAAAATTCAGTACCTAATCAAGTTAATACTGTACTAGTTAGAAGCCTACTAGGCTATAAAGAGCTTATATATAAAGTATTAAAATTCAGACTCTTAGCTATTAATCAATACTTATTTTACCTTATAATTCTCTCTTTATTAAATATATCTTATAAGTTAAAATATTATATTAATTATTCAGGTTAATCTAAAAACATAAGAATATATAATAGTTAGATAACTTATACTAGACCTAGTCTAGAGTAAGTTAAAGTTAAACTAATTAGAGTATTATTCTAAGTAATATAATTAGATTATTATAAGCTATATAATATAAGTTACTATTAATATATAAATATTATAAAACTAATAATAATAGATATATAGATAATATTATT